TCGGGCTCTAGGTCCATGACCGAGTGCCCAAATTTTTAGACGGGGGCGACACCAAAATGACCATCAGTCATTTTGGTGTCACCCCTGCAATGGTGACACCCGGGTGCTGGCTGCACCCCCTGTATCCCCCTTGTGACGCCACTGATTCTACCCATCCAGTTCTAAGATTTACACAGCTCTGCCATAAAGCACAGCCTTGCCTTTCAGAGCCAGGGCCGGATTTATCATTAGGCAAAGTAGGCACATGCCTACAGGCACCTTCCATGGAGGGGCGCCGTGCAGGTACCTACTCTGCCTAATTCCTGGTGTTGTGTCAAGATGCAGTACTTTATTTAGCCAGCAACATTCAACCCACTTGCTATGAGCCCAGGTTGTCCCGGACCCTCCCCCAACCTATGACTGGACAGTGAAAGGAGAAGCAGCAGACTAATGAGCTCATCTCTCTGCTCTGTCACTCTGCTCTCCCCCCCCCAGTAAGTCCCTTGTTAGCACATGAGCGCTGCAACACAACTGATTGACTTCTTGGGCTGCTTCTTCCTCACCCAGTCTGATCTCTGCTGTACTGGGGACCGCAAGAGGCTGATACCAAGTCAGATTCAGGTGCTTACGCAGCTCAAATAAAAAAAAAATACATTTAAAGGAGAACTATGGGGTCAGTGTTTTTCCCCATAGTTCTCCTTAGGGTAACGGGAGGACACAAACTAGCGTCCTCCCGTCACCCTAAGCTCAGTATACAGCTCGCGGTATACTGAGATGCCGCAGCCGGAGCGGATCCCGACATCGATGTCGAGATCCGCCCAGCTGCGTGAGTGACAGCTGGCTCTGCCTATCTAGAGGCAGAGCCAGCTGTACCCGCCCCCTCCCCCGTCCGTTCCGGCAGTCAGCGCTGGCGGATCGGAGCAGGGAGGGGGGAATCCAGCCCCTCCCCTGTCACGGCAGAGAGCCGTGACAGGATCGAGAGGTGAGCGAATGCCGGTATGTGTTCGCTCACCTCCCGATCTACTGAGCCGACCTGTGACAGTCTCATTGTCACAGGTCGGCTAGAACTATGAGGTGAGTGAAAAGCACTCACCTCATAGTTCTCCTTTAATAATGTGTAATGTAATACAGAGCTGCATGAATGTGTGTCTTTATGTCTGCCTGGAGTTGAATGTCAAGTTCGACAAGGATTCACTGTACATTCACCAGCGAATCACTAACTGCTGCCCATTGCAGATTGAATCCTACGGCGTGAATGGGCCCTTAAAGTCCTGTGTAGGGAACCAGCTCTGAGTTCAAACTTGGCAACATTTGGATTTCTTGAATTTCCATGTAACCTCCATCCCCATCTGATGCCAAAGCATACAGCGCTGGGTGAATATTGTTTGCCTTCTGGGTAAGCTGTCACTTAGTATGGCTCCTGGATGGTGAGTCGGGGATCCGGGGGAAACAGGAATCTTCACTGGCCGGTTTGACTTGTTTTTCTGGTAATAGCCGCGGTACTAAAGACACCTCAGTAATGTTCTGTATGCGGGTCCCACACTGGGCTCCAGCAATGTTATCTGCTGCAAGGTCTCAGCACTGAAAGTAACTGACTCCGTAGGGAACACATGTATAGAAATTAAAGAGGTGCATTTATAAAGGTAACGCGCGGCTTTGCACTGCCACTAGCGCCCCCAGATGGCGCTGCTGAGTATAGGAAATGCAATACTTGTCAGTTCCACCTAGGGCACTAGTCCCATGCAACGCCGGGCAGAAGTTTTATAAATAGACCCTAAAGTATGTAAAGGCATTTTTTAAAATTTCATATAAAGCCGAGAAGGGTTACACCCTCTGTCAGGTCCTTATTAGAAACACAGAAATATACAGTATATATATATACACACACTATATTGCCCCAAAAGTATTGGGACACCCCACCAAATCATTGGATTCAGGTGTTCCGTGAAATGTCCTGGCTACTAAATATTCCGCGGTCACCTGTTACTGGTATTATAACAAAGTGGAAGCAACTGGGAACAACAGCAACTCAGCAGTGAAGTGGAAGGCCACGTAACATGACAGAGCGGGGTCAGCGCATGCTGAAGCGTACAGTGCACAGAAGTCGCCAACTGTCTGCAGAGTCAATAGCTACAGACCTCCAAGCAGCTGCATCCAAGCCTTACATCACCAAGTGCAATGCAAAGCGTGGGATGCCGTGGTGTAAAGCGCTCCGCCACTGGACTCTAGAGAAGTGGAGACGTGTTTTCTGGAGTGACCAATCACGCTTCTCTGTCTGGCAATCCGATGGATGTGTCTGGGTTTGGCGGTTGCCAGGAGAACGGTACTTGCCAGACTGCATTGTTCCAAGTGTAAATTTTGGGGAACGGGGGTTATGGTGCGGGGGGGGGATTGGTTGTTTTTCAGGGGTTGGGCTTGGTCCCTTAGTTCCAGTGAAGAGAACTCTTAAAGGAGAACTATGAGGTGAGTGATTTTCACTCAGCCTCATAATCTGAGCAATGAAACTGTCACAGGTCGGCTCAATAGATCGGGAAGTGAGCGAACACATCCCTGCAGAGAGCAGTGACTGTCATTCTGGATAGGCAGAGCCTGCGGTCAATCCCGCAGCTGGGTGGATCTCGACAGCAATGTCGAGATCCATCCCGGCTCCGGCGTCTCAGTATACCGCCAGCAGTAGCTTTGGGTCACGGGAGAATGCTATTTTGTGTTCTCCCATGACCTTTAGGAGAACTATGGGGAAAAGCCCTGACTCCATAGTTCTCCTTTAAGGCATCAGCACAACAAGACATTTTGGACAATTTCATGCTCCCAACTTTGTGGGAGGAGTTTGGGGATGGCCCCTTCCTGTTCTAACATGACTGCGCACCAGTGCACAAAGCAAGGTCCATAAAGACATGGATGGGGGAGTTTGGGGGGGGGGAACGTGACTGGCCTGCACAGAGTCCTGACCTCAACCCGATAGAACACCTTTGGGGTGAATTAGAGCGCAGACTGCGAGCCCGACCTTCTCGTCCAACATCAGTACCTGACCTCACAAATGGTCTAACATTCCCATAGACACACTCCTAAACCTTCTGGACGCCTTCCCAGAAGAGTTAGAGCTGTTATGGCGGCAAAGGTCGGAGCCAACTCAATATTGAACCCTACAGGCTAAGACTGGGATGCCAAAGGTTCATGTGCCTGTAAAGGCGTCCCAATACTTTTGGCAATATAGTGTGTGTATATATATTACTTGAATGAAAATAAGGGCACAACAGGCATGAAAAAAATGGGAATTCCATGTTAAAACTACTTTCAAGTAAACATTACAATAAAAATAAACTTAACACACACAGTCACTGAAATAACATGAGGATGTTACATAATGATGTTACTCAAAGATAAGATTAGATTGAACTCTCAACAAGGAAAGTCAATGAGATTCTCACAAACGTAACCAATGCTGATTGGTGGATGGAAACAAATTTCTCAGGCAGATCATTAGATTAGATATCAGTGTTTATGAAAGAGACAGAAAAAAGGAGAACCAACTGTAATTATTTTATGGCCCCCTCCGATCTCATGTAGTCCAGCTTGTGGGGAATGAATCAGACCGAAAGGTTTCTCCTATTTGGTGCATTTAAAAAAAAAACATTAGACCAGAGAGAGATCAGAAAGGACCTATGAGGACAACCAAATTCTGTTTTCTACCAAACGTCTTAGGGGTCTATTTATAAGGGTTTGCAGAGCCATTCATCCTACAAATCTTTTTGATCACTTGTTCTGTGTGAGTAGATGCTAAAATGAGCGTTCCTGAATATATTAACTTTTCAGGTCGAATGTATTTAACCTAATACTGCATTATGCCTGCTAGATGGCGCCCAGGAGCATAGGAAATAAACACTTATTTACTAAGTTCATCAGCTCCATCTAGTGACTATAATGTGGTATTACATTACATATATTCAGCGTGAAAAGAAAATATATCAAAGGTTGCTTGTCTTTTGCGTCTAGTTGCACAGAATGAATGCTCAGAAAGTTTCGTAGGGTGAATGACTCTGCAAATTAGTTATAAATAAACCCCTTATAGTGTTTGGACCTGAACTCAAAAAGTGAAGATTTTCTATACTCATACCTACCAAGATCTCAGTCCTGATCCTCAGGACACAGTTAACCCCGCCCACAGACACCTCAGGCCTGCTTAGTGACTAATTTGGTCTGGTCAGACTCCACTCACTTCCTGAAGTGGCCCACTCAAAACTCTTTTTATGTGGGGGCCACCCATTCTTGGCTGCCTGATCACCCTACTGCAGGGGTAGGCAACCTTGGCACTCCAGTTGTGCTGGAACTACAAATCCCATGCCTTTGCCTCTGGGAGTCATGCCTGTAGCTGTCAGAGTCTTGCAATGCCTCATGGGATTCGAAGTTCCACAACATCTAGAGTGGCAAGGTTGCCTACCCCTGCCCTATTGAATGCCTTACTGAGTTGCCATGCATGCACAGCAGTTCAAACATGGGTGACACTGTGATCCTGAGACATGGCCTCATTGGGACTAGGGTTGCCACCTGTCCAGGATTGACCCGGGCAGTCCAGGTTTTGAATGCTGTGTCCAGGTTTCTGCTGCCATGAAACACGGACACAAGATGTCAGGCAGACAGGGGCAACCAAATTTAAGATATGGGCTACTAGCCCCCCCACTGAAAATAGTCTTGACTGTGATATTTACATACGAATGGGCGGAGCTATTTACATATGAATAAGCCACGACTCATTCTCCCAAAAATATTTCTGCGTGTAGCTAGAGTGTTCGGGTTTCGCTTGAACAAAAGGTGGCAACCCCAATTGGGACTAAGGTCTAAGATGCAGGACTGTCACTGCAAATTCAGGATGGTTGTCAGCTATGGCAGTGCTGTGTTTACTTGCTCTAATGACTCCTGCAAGACATTTCCTAGAGATGCAGGAATGGGTGGGGG